GGTACCTTCTTGCTTTCTCTCATTTTATCTCTCTTTTCTCTCTGTCTGTGACTCTGGTAAGCACATATGTCCTAGAGCAAAAACTAAAACCAAAGTGGATCTGTAAGTAGAAATGAATGTCACTTTTGGTGGCACGGTGGTTACAACACCTGGATCCCACATGACCTACTGTGCAGTTTGGGTCCTGGACCCGGTGGCTTGAGAAACACACCAGACACATGTGCGTACATGCCCAGAATCCTGAACGGAGGGAGAAATGGAGAAGGTACTGCAGTATGACTATTAGCCATGACGGGGAGGGAGTTCTCTCTCTCAAGTGTACATGCCCCCTGGCGAAAGTACATAGAAGAAAAAGAAAGAAAGTCCCTGTTAAATGCTAGGGAAAAAACATACTATGGATTTATACAGATGGACAGCTGGTAGCATGGTTGTTAAGGTGCTGGATCTCACATGGCTGACTCCTGAGTTTAAGTCCTAGACCTGGCGGCGTGAAAAACATGCTGGACACGTGTGTGTCCAAAATGCCAAGAGGCGAAGGGATTGCTGCGAGGCCATCCCCCCAGGGGGTGATTTCTCACTATTCCTTTCTGTCTGTCTCTCTCCTGGGAGCACACACACCCAAAATCTGAAAAAAAAAAAAAAAAAAAAAAAAAAACTTAATTATATGTAAAACAGTATGATCCCAGGGCCAGTCCTGTGGTGCTGGATCCCACATGGCCAACCACAGCATGGGATCCCCAGCAGCTTGAAAAGCACACCAAGTGTGTGCACATGTGCTCAAAATCCCAACAGGATGAAAAAACAGAGGAAAAAAACACTGCAGCATGACTGCACCCCACTGGAGGATTCTCTTTCTCGCTAACTCTCTCTGGTGAGAGCACTCCCTCTAGCCAAAAAAAAAAGTATGATCCCATTTTTGTAAAAGACAGACCAAAACTATATCTATTGAAGGAGAAAGAAAAGAAAAATAAGGAAGAGCATACAAACTACTAATGGCTCCAACCACAGGAAGCTGGGGAAACGCCAAGTCGTTTGCTTGTTCCTCCTAAGCACCATGGTGCTGTCTGAATTTTCACATAAAACATACATTAACAAACAGAATAAGGTATTGTCAGAGGCATTCCTTTACATCCCCTTCTCACTCCCTGACTAAATTCACATCCCAGCCTCTGCCTGACTCTCCACCCCACAGCCTCCTGCCCCTGCCCCAGGCCCAGAGCCAGGCGCACTTACAGATGCAGGCAGCAGCCAGCAGGCGGCTGGCGGCATAGGGGGAGAAGCAGCTCGGGAAGAGGGGCTGCACCATGTAGTTGGCGAAGGTGATGGCAATGATGGCTTGGCTGGTGGGCTCGATGATGAGCAGGGAGGTCCAGAGTCGGATGAAGGCAAGGAATCCCCCGAAGGCCTCCAGGATGTAGGCATAGCTGGCCCCAGATTTCTTAATGGTGGTGCCCAGTTCTGCGTAACAAAGGGCCCCAAAGACGGAGAAGAGGCCCCCGACAGCCCAGATGACCAGGGAGAGGCCGAAGGAGGCACTGTACATGAGCACGCCCTTGGGTGAGACGAAGATGCCCGAGCCAATCATGTTGCCCACAATCAGGCACACGCCATTGAGCAGCGAGATCTCCTTCTTCAGCTTTACCTGCCCAGGATCTGGGCTGCCCCCATCTCCCAGAGGAGAGGCATCTCCCTCTTGCTGGGAGGTCACTTCATACTTAGTGCTGTCGACCATGGTGGAGAAGGAGAGGAAAACCTTCACCAGCTTCCTGGCATCGCCCTCTAAAGGAGAAAGACAAAGATACATACTGGGTTGCTGGCATTAATATGGACCCGCTCCCCTCCCCAGCAGGAGCCAGTATGGACAGCCCACCCCCCACTTCTGAGCCTTCCCTCTGGCTTCCCACCTCCAAATAACCTCTTCTTCTCCAACTGGCTCATCAGAACAACCCCAACTCAAATTTTGAAGAGGAGGCACTCATTCCCCAGGGAGAAAGCACCTGTCTCTCCTCGCTGGGATGCTGCTGCCCACCTGTATTACCAAGTAGAAAACTAAGCTCTGTTTCTATATGAGCCTGCTACAGCACGAGACAGGCATGGGAACAGCTTAGTAGCTCCCAAGTATAACCACAATGGTTTGAGCCTAAGTTTTCAGCCTTAACAACAACAAAAACCCTGTGTTCTCTCCAGTTTCAGTTTCAGCTGTCACTGTACTGAGAGGCAACTTTAGGAACCAAACTCACAAGCAGCTCCCCGACATGAGCACCACCGTGTGTGTATCTCCTCCTGCTGCTCTTTTCCCCCAGTGACTCCGGCACCCTGAAAGTTTCAGAGATCTCCTGCCGAAAGCTACAACCCTGCTTCTGCTCAGACAGCCCTTAACAACCCTCAGGTGGAGTCTGGCAAACCCCAAGCAGCTCCATCCCACCCTGAAAGAAGACAAGATATTCTCCCTTCATCACGTTTCCTTTTCCAGACACCTTTCCCAGTCCCTAGCATGCCAGTCTCTAGTATTTTCGGTGGTACAAAAAAAAAGTATGAATGAGAGAAGGGTAATCCAAAGGTATCCAAATAACCAGCCAATCCCAGAGATGACTGAGGCAGCTGAGGACTGCTCCTACCCTGGAGTTGCAGGTAGAGAGATCCTACCCAAGCCACAGGCCAGGGAAACAGCTGAACCCAGACAGTAGATGCTGAGACACAGCAGGAGGCAACTGAGAGGCTAGTCAAGGCTGAGGAGAGAGACCAGGAAAAGATGCAATCAGGAGTTGAGGGCTTGGACCCTGGAGAGCAGCAGCGAAGAAGGGGGATTTGGGTGGCAAGGAGGGGCGAAGCCTGGGACTCACATTCACTCCCTGGTCCTGGATAAAAGCAGGTTCCTACAGCAGTGGCCAGAGGCAGTCCCAGCAGTCTGACTGCTCCTTTTCAGCCAGCAATAAAAAGAAAGGCCAGACAATTGCCTATGGATTTAAGGCAAGAAGGGCGGAGGGGATGAGGGAGGGGTAGAGGAGTGTTAAGCAACTGTCTGGGTCCAAGGTTCATTGGCCCTTCACATCTGCAAAAGGGGCAGCTAGGCGTTCTTGGCTCAGCACTTTCTGTGATAAGAAGGCACTCTCTTAGGAATCTCCTTTGTCAGCTCTGCTCTGAGACCCGGAACCCGGGAGGAACCCAGGAGAAAGAAAGAACAGTCGGCTGCACCCTGGGGAAGCAGGCCCTGAGCAAATGAGCTGGAGGGGGGTAGGGGCCGAGAAAAATGCACAGCTCGTGCTCTCTCTCTGTCCTCCATGCTCCACTTTAGTCTCACTTCTCTCTCACCCCGAACAATTAAGAAGGGCAGGAAGGTTGCACAGTATGACACAAAGGTATGCTCACATGCTGAGATTAGAGGAACTGTAAGAGCAGTCCCTTCACCGCCTGATTGGGAATCCCAAAAGGAGAATTCTGCAGGCCTCCCACACCAGAGACAGGCAGCTGGCCTAAACCTGGACCTTTACCCTGAGGTCTGAGCCTCAAGCTACATTAAAAGGCACAAGGTCAAGAAATGAGATCAAATCTAACTGTAGCCCCACCCATGTGCTCTTTCATTCTTTTCCTTTTTTTTTTTTTCTCCCTCTTTCATTCTTTTTTTCTTTTTTAGAAGTTTTTGCCTTAGGATACATGCACTCACCAGAGAGAGAGAGACAGAGATAGTGAGAAATCACCGGGGTGGGGGGGGGTAGGGGGTTGGCCATATCACAGTCCCTTCCTCCTCCATTTTCCTTCTAGGATCTTGGGCACGTGCACACATATGCCCAGTGTGATTAAGCCACCTGGTCCCAGACTCAAACTGCAGTGATGTAACTGCTATGCCATCTGCTGGTCCCCCTCCTTTCATTCTTTTTTTATTTTTAAAGAATGTTTTAAATTTCTTTATTTTAATTTGACCAGAGAGGGACAGAATGAGAGAAAGTGAGAAAACAAGCCACCATGTCTGGTACTTGAACCATGGTCGACTATGTGGGAGTCCAACACCCCTAATTACCATGCCACCTACCAGCCCCAGAGAGCCCACACTCTTTTTTTTTAAGAATTATTTTATTTAGGGACCAGCAGTTGGCGTAATGTCTATGTCACTGGACTCCCATGTAGTTGACC